GACCCAGTGGAGTATTAATCACCAAAATTTACTTTGTTTTCGGGTCTAATAGAAACTGCAAACAAGCGTCCCGCAAATCGGTTTTTGAAAACCCCTGCACCCCCCCCCCCGACAGCTTGTAAAAAAGGTCCCCCAGTTTAGGGATGGGGTATTATTCTACATCCACTTGCTGATTCATCGTGATCTGAAATCACCGTACAATCTGATCACCCATTTGCTTCTTTCACCAGTAATGGGGGTGTGGCCCACTGGTTTGTTGACACTGGTGTTATGACGTCATCCGCCTGGAGTCTTCTGAGTTCTTCCTTCAACTTCTCTCTGAGAGACCATGTAGTAGCCGCCCGTGCCCCCTTGAAAGAACCGGCAACGGTGCGCAGAAGCGAGGCAGCGGCGCCCCAGGAAAATACGGGCACCGCTCACGGGAGGTCACTGAGGTCGGGTTCAGCAGAGGGGGGCTCTTCTTTGTAGAAACAAGGCTTGTTACCCCCCTTAAGCTGGATGCTGGCCTGGAAGTTCTTGCATTATTCCAGCACGAAAGAAAACCCCCCGCAAATTCCTGCTCCAACTCGCTGATGACCTGCACTTCTTCCTCTTCGGAAATGTGATTCACGAGGTAAACGACTCCAAAGCTTAATTTGCTAAAGGAATCCAGCCCCAAAATGTTCGTGACGTCATACCTGTCTACTATGATGTCTTCTATTGTTGTTTGTCTTTTCTTATATATTGCCCGCAGACTGTGCCAAAGATTTTAATCAATGTCTTGCCAAAACTTGTTAACTCCTTCCGCACCTTCGAGTATCCGGGCGCCCCTATCCGCTCGTACGTTTCTAGATTAATTAGTGTCACAGCTGATCTCGTATCTAACAAAAAATCTACGGGCTTATTGCCTAGCTCCACTTTAACAATCCGCTTACTTTGCCCGTTTCCGTCCTTACTGTTGTAGCCGCTCCTACTCTTCCCACTCTTCTTTATCACTCTATTTACTCTCACACTGTAATTACTACTTTCACTTGCATCACTGTCCGTACTAATTGCTTTTGGCCTATTTTTCCTCTGAGTTCACACCTCCTACTGTTTTTTTCTTGGCACACTTGCGCCCCCGTCGTGATCTGGCGACACTGGCATTTCGAACGTTTTGCACATGTTTCTTACTTCTTCCAATGAAGGGTTCCCACTTTGTAACACTAAAAATCTAATTTTGTCCTCCGGTGTGTGTGTGTGTGTGTGTGTGTGTGTGTGTGTGTGTGTGTGTGTGTGTGTAGTACCACCATGACCCTGATCGAAGTTTCTGCGTGTGAAGTTTCACTCTGACGGCGGGCACATAAACTCACACCGCGCCAAACCCAATATTTCCGTCATCCATCCACTTTAGGTCTGTCCCTCACTTTTCCTGCACTGAAAAAAATTGTATCTGGCGACACTACATGAGGCACTTTCTTAAAGTAATTGTCTAGTTTTTCTTTGATTTTTGATCAACTAATGTCAGACGCGTCTTTCTCCCGAAACAACTTTTCTAGAAGGCTAGTTACTTTACTGCCCACCCAGCTAAGAAAAAACGTTTTTTTCGTGTTTGCGTGCCCTACCTGGTGGCATAGTAGGTGTTGCTCCAGCCTTTGGACATACGTACTCCGTCCACTCCTACGTGTCTGGCTGGAAACGGGGAAACTGCGGTGGAGTGCGCCTTTTGTTTGCTCCGTTAACACTGCCAGCTGCTATGTATGTGCCTCCGCCTGCTGCCGGAGAGTTTCCTGCGCTGCTGTAGCTGTATCTGAATGTAGCTGCTCTAGCTGAATTTGTTGCTGCTGTTGCTGAATTTGTTGCTGCATTAGCACTATCATTTTTGCCTTCTGCTCATCGGCCTCCATCTTGTTTTACCTTCGTCGCCAGTTTTGTTATGACCAAAACAAGCTAATTTCGTGAAACGGTTTTTATTAAAAATAGCCAATCATACAAGGAAAGCCGTTAACACGCGTAGTCAAAAATAACCAGATTTACCGGGGTCGTGCCAGATTTACCAAAAGCCGAAAATATGTCCAAACGCTATGCCACGGTCACAATCCAAATCCTAATACCAAAGAGAAGTCCATAATACTGGCCGACACCGTAGTCATTCACTACTTGAACTGAGGCTCGCATTATGACGGGACGACTGGAACTGCTTCACGGCTCGCATGCGCCGTTTTATACCCGGTAAGGGCTGAAGGCTCGCCGACTGACCCGACCGTACGGCCGATGGCGCGCTCGATCACGCCGTCCGAAGCGTGACGGCCGATGGCCCGACATCAGCGACCTCCCGTGAGCGGTGTCCGTATTGTCATGGGGCGCCGCTGCCTTGCTGCTGCGCACCGGTGCCAGTTCTTTCAAGGAGGCGCGGGTGGCTAATACACTCTCGACCAGAGGCACTGCAGTGATATCAGTTAATGCCCTGAGTCACCTCTCCCGGTACGTGTTTGTGGAAAATCCCCGCATGCCAACGTAGGTCGGCGCCGGTTCTCGCCAGACAGTGGAGGAAGATCACCACCCCCTTCAGCGATTAAAACTTGCACTACATTAACGAGATTAATAGCCATTGCAGTAGACGCGCCCAAAATCACAAACTAATCAATCAATCCGTACAATCATGAATCGTATGCTAGAGGGGTCTCAATCAGCAGAATACAGTATTTATAAAATCAATAAAAACTAAATTACATTTAAACTCTCCTTCTGTTCCGTAGCAAATACAGGAAATGGAAGAAGTCAATACCAATATCTACTTTTGGCTGAAAATGTTTAAACGAATGTTAATAAGTTATCTTCCTGAGCATGAATATGAAATTTGATAATAAAACTCACCTCATTTCATTTCAGTGTAGTGTGTTTCTTTGACTTCAACACACTTGGTCCATTGAGCTTTCAGTGATCGAATACCCTCAGAATAGAAGTAAACGTCGTGACTGTCGAGATACCTCAGTACAGCTGCATCATCAGAAAATGGTCGCTCATGTAGAAATTTTTCAAGTTTCGAAACAGAACACAGTCACTGGGTGCAAGATCTGGACTATATGATGAGTTATATGAGATACATGAAGCCACATTCCTTCACAGCAATGTGTGATTTGCGTGACATGTGAGCAGGCACATTGTCGTGGAGCAACAACACACCAGCAGACAATTACTCTTGGCACTTCTGTCTGACAGACTCACATAAAGCCCTTGTAGGCGAATAATAGGTGTATCTATGGATGGTTGTCTTGTGTGGCATTAATTCGACAAGCAGAACACCTTCAATGTTCCAAAATCGGTGTGGTCATGATATTTCCGGCTGACTTCTGCACACGAAAGTTTTTGGGTGTTGGAGACCCCTTGTGCTTCCATTGCATGGACTTTTGCTTGGTTTCAGGATCACAATGGTGAACCCATAGTTCATCCTCAGTCGTAACTCATGAGTAAAAGGTATCTGGAGTTTCTCTAAGCAAGTTCAAATTATCTTTGCAACATTGTTCGCAAAATGCTTTCTGTTCGAAAGTCAATATTCTTGGCACGCAGCGAGAACTGACCTTTTTACATCAGATCTCTATGATTGACTCTATGAATCGTGACAGTTGAAATGACAAGTTCATGAGCTAAAATATTGACCTGAACACGACGATAAAAAATCATGATCCCCACTTTTTGGTTCATTTCCTTTAATGGCACTTGCCGCTTCAGTGTGGGCCAGAGAGCTCTATATGTAAGTATTCTGGAGAGAAAACCCAATGCTTTGGAAACGTGAGCGAGTACGCCGCCCTATTGCCGAGCGTATCTCTGTCTCTCTCTAGCACATTGGAATACCAGTATTGGGGTGTGAGAGTAGTCTGAATTTTCGGCAGGGGGACAAAATGGAATAAGAATGATTAATAATAAAGCACAAATTGTATAAAAAATAATAAATATTACAAATTTAAATTGGATGTCATTGAAATTAAATTTCTCAAGGTTCCTAAATTATCATTAACATGAACTCGATGAAAAAGAAATTTCGTGTTCTTAAAATGCCTGAATAATATTTATAAAGAAACACACATTAAACTAACTTCCTAAATTTCAATCAAATTATTTGCTCTTCAGTTTTGTACCCGCTCATGAAAATAATAAATTACATTTCTACATCTCTTACCCAAACTTGAAAATAATGGGTATATTTGGAAAATGCATTATCTATAAATGTCAATAAAACAAAATGACAGTTCATAATATTTGATATCATCACACATTCAAAAATTTGGCAAGCTTATTCAACTTCTGTCTTACAGATCTTTTCTTTCCATGTTCATTTATTGTGACATTCCTTTATACTGCCCTTAATTAAAGGGTGGTATACACTCTTACAATTTCTTTTGGTAATTTTGTTTTGTGTAAATCTACACAATGAATGACAGAATTAAGCAACCCTAGAAATAATTATTGAAGTTTAAAATATTAATGTGAACTCAGAATTTATTAATGATTCTTATATTTTTGGAGCCTAGCCTCCCATGTTCTACTTCCATAGATGCTATGCCATCCAAGTTGACATAAGCAGAGAATATTTTCTTGCTGGCATCCCAGATCAACTGCTTTCTTATCGACATACCATCAAATATAAGAGCACATTCCTTCAAATGTGATATCTTCTCATTGTTTTCATTTAAACATTTGAAAACTTCACCAATAAAACCTGTTTCACAATAATTTATAGAAGAAATCCATGACCCTAGTCTATTTGGATGAGTTAATGAAATAATGATCATTCTAATATTCTTTAGCACAATGAAAGTACAAAGTAAGAACTGTTTTACAATGTCACTGTACCATCTTCCCCTTTTATCACATTTAGAATTTTGATACTGACTTTTGATAAACTGAAACAGGAAACCACTAAACTTCTCTTCGAGAGCTGCTTCCGCGTCTGAATTTGAATGTCATTTCTTAATTCTTTGATTAATTCTGCCATGTTAATAATCTGCTTATTCCTGCGATGCAGTCGCATTGGCAGAAGCTTAAGTTTCATCCTTCGGATGGTTTTGGTCGGTGACTGAAGAACTGTCTGTCTCCTTACAATTTTGTTTGCTAGGAGATTTGCACTGAGAATCAGCTTCCATATCAGATTCGCCTTCTTTGTCCTGTAATACATACAAACTCGTTAATGTGGTCAAACTATTCAATAATTGGTTTCATCGTACTTGAAGACGAATTCTTACTTTCATACATTGTTCATTGGAAAAAAGATGATATGAAAAAATATAAAACTTGTTCTCAAATTACTTACAATAATATTAGAGGGTTTCAATTACATTAAAGGTCGCCTCAAAGATGTTTCTTCCCCGAGATGCACAGGAAAATCAAACACAGAAGAACTGCATCTTATTTCAGTAACATGACTTTCACTCCTAACCTAGAAACGAAAGAAATCATAAACACCAATACGGCTGAGGTAAATTTACTTCACATATACTGTTAGAAACAATGATCACCGTCAAATTAGTACTATAATTAATATTAACCTGATATCAATCCTCAAGGAAATGTTTGCTACAGTGTGTGCTACTTATGGATGGTTTCCATTTCTCTCTTCAGATAGCATGAATCCATTTCTTCAAAATTTCTGGTCAGGAAAAAGGGAATCTGCGTAAAGCAGAAATACAATACATATTTTCACAGAATTTATCGCTACAGGGTTATGATACAGCATCACACAATGGATTAATTCGAAACATATTTGGAAAAAGAAATCTCTTACTTGTGAAACTGAATCCCACTTCCTGTCTTCTGGAGTTGTTTACAACCGCACGCAACACAATGCTTTATCATTGTGTTTCTTGTTAAAAGCAAAATTAATATAAAGCCACAACCTTTTTACGCCGTACCAAAACACGTACTACTAGGCACATTGGAATACGCTCCACCTTTGTCAACTCACCAGAATCAGGCGTCACGCTCCCGATTGATTTCCAGCATTGCAGTTGTGCATCTAGTTTATATAGTTGACGTCACTGGTGTGGGCAGGCTTCGGAACCGGAGGCAAAGGGCAAGTCACCAGCGTGACGCCGCCCCTACTATGAAAGGTGGCGGCCACAGTCACGGGGAGTCCAAGTTATGTGAAGTGCCAGACGAGTTTCCGAGGGAGTGAGTTACATGAGAGACGAAGTCCATTTAGCTGAGGTGAGTCACCGTGAGGGGCAGCTTGGTCACCTAGTGAGAGGTGATGACAGCCAACGGAGTTCTGGGTCGTCAGAGATCCAAGCCGGAGCGAGCTCGATGGCGGAGATTTCTTGGGAGCGGGAGAGATACCCACCCTCACCAATGACGGCCCAACTGAGGCCGGGTCCTTGCTGGGACACCAAGGATAATCAGCGGCTGAGACCTATACTTCGGTTTTTATAACGTGCCTTCACGATGGAATATCTTCCGGCATTTCGCGTCTTCCTCTGTGTGTCTAGTGGCACGACCAAGAAAGACACGAAATGCCGTGAGATATTCCATCGTGAAGACAGCCCCTGACGCGCCACGTCATAAAAAGCAAAGTATACGCTCCGTAGGGTTGGCGGTAGTAGCTTGGGTCGCCTAGGGTGAGCCAATGCGAGTTCAGCGGGAGAGATACTCGCCCACCTCTGGGGCCGTTACACTTGCTGGGGCAGCAAGCTCCGTACAGCCGGCAGAGACTCCGGGGCGTGATGAGAGACCCATCACGCTGTGAAGTTTACGTAGAGTTTTGGTTGAACTGTAGATTTTGTGATAGATAGATAGTGTTTGTTCAGAATAAATCATTGTTGAAGAACAAAATAACTTTCATTGTCACATATAACAATAGTATTTCAGAAAAGTGACGAAATGTTGCTTGATAGCTTGTCTTGTTTCTGTTGGAACAGTTTACCTTTAAATTTTTACCTCTCACCGTTTAGGCATTATTTTAACTCTGTTTGATGTAGACTTTCTGCGTAGGCAGGGAGGGATTTTTAAATTTATTTATATATTTTCCATCAGAAGAGTAGAAAACTACTATGTATGACGTACTATGGAGATAAGTACAATCACTGCATGCTTTCGTGAGCTATAGGATCCCCACACTAACTCATATACGTATTAAGATGAATTATGACTGATTCTCTTCATTTATGCGTAAAAAACAGTATGTCTTCTTGCTTCTACAAACACGAGATATATCTGAATGAGGGGAATTTACTTCATAGTTATGTTGAAATGTATAAAATTTTACATTACAGTCATATAGCCCAGATTCTTAAAGAAGAAAATGCATTGAGGGTATGTAAATGAAACTAACAAAACGTGAAACTGAAACATCAAGTGAAACTGAGATTTTCAGATGTTAAAAAATGTTACATAATTAAGTCATACAAAACAACGCCATATTCAGCATTGAAAGTATGTTCACTGGAAGAATTAAAATAGATGCAAAATATACCCAAGCAATGTAATATAAAGTAATAAATTCTCTAACAACGTTATTACCTGCATTCTGGTGCCATTTTAAAAACGGTTTTATCGGTGCCGATGTTGTGCCAAGTCTCAGACTCAGACTGTGCCTAGTCGTAGTTTAAGAACACCATCAACTATTGTTATTAAAAAACATTAGTGTAAACCCTGATGCCGCACAATGAGCATTTGTTTTTAGTGTTTGAGTCATCGGGTCCAGGCACCTGTAAGAATTGCTAAAAACCCGACAGGTGGCAGCGGTTGTAGCAGTTTTTTTATGCGTGGAGATTCAGTTTTCCTCTGAAGTTGACGATGTAAGAGTAACATGACTGGCTGATTTACCTCAAAAGACCTGATTTCGAATACCAGCGCCGAGAAAAATTGTTTGCTGGTTAGAAACACGTTTGCAGGTAGAATTATAATATTGCGTAGCCGTTACAAATAACTGGGAAAAATAAATGCTTTTGTGCCACCACTGTTTAAAAAGAGCTTTCAATTTAAATACTTTCAAATTTGTAATTCACTGGCCATCTACTGTACTTTTGAACACAATATAAAGTAAACAACTCAAAATCGAACGAGAATTTCTTTATTTTGGAAACATAACCATTGCAAAAAGTAATTTAGATTTTTCAGTAGATTATGAACAAAATATATAAGTATTTTAATACACTGTTTATGAAAGTAATTTTTATACTGATTAGAATGCATTTGGTATTGTGAGGAATAAATAGCGAAACAAAACAACTTATTTACTATTTAAACATTAAGCAATGGATTTTGTCATGTTTGATACAAGAATATCTTACTATTCTAACATCTTTTATGTAAATTTATCATATACAAATATCTGAAACCTAAAAACTTTTGTTCACAAGCAATTTAATTTTTGCCAAAACTAATGACGAAAATGTATCGTAAGTATTTGAATCAAAATATTTTGAAGTGCTATATTACTCGCAAGTCAATATTTGAAAACTAGAAGTCAGTCAAATAATCTGTCAAACGGAAAACTTTAAAGAAACAAATTACTTTCAGTTTTTACTACATAATCAATTCATCGGCGCAAAAGAATACCGCCGGAGTGTAAAACATTAGTGCGCTTAGAATTGCAATAGTACGTGTAAATGGAAGATGAATTCGCAATTCCACATGAATGTGGATAACCGTGTACTGTCCACGAGGGGCTCGCCAACGTCGTGGTATAAGGAACCGAGCAACCCTACAAATCAGATAATGCCATATTGGAATGCGTGGTATTGCAGGACCAGTTTCAATAATTTGCGAATCAGATTGTGTGCTTCCGTAGAAGCTCCTTTGGGAGCTTCTGAGAGGGCTTGTGTCGGAAGAACTAGGAAAGAAACTGACATTCCTGCCCCGGGTTGAGTTAGCGGTTGAGCTTGTAACAGACCTCTCTGAGGGCCAGTGCGGGCTCTCGATATAACCACCTGTGGGGGGCATCTCTTCCCTATTTAGAAGTGGATTGTGGACATCCGGAAGCTCCAATATTCTCTCTAGAAGCCGAAATGGTCTGTTGACGTCGCTTTCAGTACTTGTCTCATCTTCCAGATCTAAAGTTACGTTGTTGACAGATGAGGAGGCCTCCGCTGTGTAACCGGACGAGCTTGCACTTGAGTTCCAAAAAGAACCCCGCACAGGGCTCCCCTGGGAGCTTGCAGATGCGCTGTGGATTGAGCTTCGTCCGGGGCTCTCGATGGAGTTCCCAGATGTACTTCCGCTGCGAACTGAACTCGTCATTTGCCTCCTAACTGGTCTCAGGTCTGCATTATGGACTGGCCTCCAGATTGAAATATCGGATGAACTTCCGCTCGAGGTCCAGTATGGGCTCCAAGCTGGGCCGTCATACTGGTTAAGATTTTTGTCCGGGGTGTTGTCCCCACTCTTGATAAAGCCTCTGAGTTTATTCTCTTCTTGACTTTCATTTGGGTTATTCTCTTGGATTCTGAGATGGCTGTCATCTGAAAGTGTATCATTTGAGACAACAAAAGAGCTCTCATTTGAGACAACAAAAGAGCTCTCATTTGAGAAAACAAAAGAGCTCTCATCTGAGCTCTCACTCTCGTTTCCATCAGGGCTCATGTCTTCGTTTCCATTAGGATTCTTGTCCGAAGTCTCAACTCTGTTCTCTGCGTCTGAGGGACGTAGGGTGCTTCTTGTCGAACTTCCTTCCGAGTCCCAGAAAGAACTCTCCATTGAGCTCCACAGCGGGCCTCCGTCAGAGTCTCTGAACGGATTCCATAACTTGTCTGTGCCCAGCGTTCTGGCGGGGTCCCCGGGCGAGCGGTTGGTTGAAGCATTGCCCAAGTTGTCTGCGTCACCACCAGCGAAGGACTGATTCGTATTTGGTACTCTTGCAGCCATAACCTGCGTGCAAGTTGAAAGAATATATGCAGCAGCATTCGAGAAGCCAATATCGATGTGACTGGCAATACTACAGTGAAGTCGAGTAGCATCGAGATTACGGTATTATATTAAATTGTGTTAATTTTCTAGTATTATTTTTTTAATTAATGCTAATATAAGAAATTCTTCTGGTTGAAACATACGAAAGCATGTTAACGTTACATTGCATACAAATATAGTTTGAAAAAGCAGTCAAAGAAATAGAGCTTGCAACTACACTAACTGAAGTAAATATTCCCAAACTGAACGCTCAACAAATGTTTTATTTATCCCGATTGTTTCACTCAATTATGTTATTACTGGAGAGAATTATTACATGGGTAAATTGTTTTGATTAATTAGCCGTACATACCATAACCGTTTCTTGTGTAATTCCTCGTTTCCATAAGGTAATATGATTTTGGCGTGTCCTGACGCAGTGTACTCCGTAGAAACCTTTTAAGCTGCATTCACAAATTTCTACTCGAAAATTTCGAAATTACTACTTTGAAATTTTAGACGTCGGCCTATCAGATGAATGAAGTGAAGTCACTGTCTGAAAGAGAGTTTTGGAATTCGTATTTTCTTAGTTTTGTTTATTCCTCTAATCACGTTTCTTATATGAAGGAAAATGTCGTTACCCACGGACTTCCTTACGAGTTCACGAAGTTACACAGGTTAAAGCGGTTAAAAGCTGTGTGACATACGATGGGGAGAAGTGCAATCTGTGAACGCTGCATGAACTCTGAGATCCCTACTCTCATTCAAGATCAATTATGATAACACGTAGAAACAAGCGTTTTTGGTAAGAATTTATTAGAAAATATTCGCAAAAATATATGAGAAATATTATCAAAGGCAAGTAAGCAATTGTGTAGCCTTATCGTGCATACACAATTGTAACTTCAATATTACTAACACTTCAGCAATCATCACGGAAGGGAATGAAGGAGGTGAAGCGATACTTGGAATACTGGTTTAACACCTCGTGTGAACATGTAAAGAAATTGTCAAAGAATGTGAGAAATGTATGGTCGCCATGAAGTAGCTTAACAGCTTTTCTTAAATAATACTTATTGGAAAAATAGTTAATTCATAATAACAGTTGCAAAAGAACACGTCCGTGATCCTAATGGGCATGGTCGACTGCTGTGAATTAAATTCGATTGTGGCAATACCCGATAAAACAAATAACATTGGTAGCTCTTTTAGCTTGTGCTAGTAACTTACTGCGTTTTCTTTCACCACTTCCCCAAGCATATTAAAACGCAGGGTGGATGAACTGCAAATGAAGAATACTAATTGAAATAATATGAGTGGAAATTATGTATAGAATCTTAAACAGTGAGTCCTGGGGGGATCAGATTGCAAATATTCTTTCGAGTAAGCTACTTGTGTAGAGGGAAGTGAAGAGTTCCAAATAATGACAAGAAGAAACTGTTTTTGCTTACCTCAAGCTAAATTGTCAATGCCTGTTGGAACTTTAAAATAATGCGAGTTATTTGACCTTAACAATTAATTTATTTTACCCGACTTAAGGGAGTATTACTGTGTCTCATATGCAACAATGAGGCAGAAACCAAGCTGCAACCTGCAGCCCGCAACCGACTGCAACCCTCCCGATTTTAGTAGGGCATGTTCCTTCTCCTGCGTACTGTCTTCAGTTGTTAAGTTTTTTCTATATTTCGTGAATACTTGTATGATCAGCAAGTCCAGAGAGGAAATGTTGAAACTTCGAAAATAATATATTAAGACAATAGGAAATAGATGGCGTACTGGATATCATTGAACATTTGGATTATTCAAAAGTTTGTGCTCGTTAGGTACCCACACAATCTGATACACTGACACAATCCAATAATGAGCAAGGAAAACAATAGCGGCTGATCTCTTGCATCATTATGAGATGGAAGGTCAACAGTTATAAACAATTGTCACAGGTGACGAAACGTGGATTCATTTTTTTGAACCAGAGACGGTCCATGGAATGGTGCCATTCCATGTCACCCCGAAAAAAGAAACCCAAAAGTGCACACTCTGCAGGGAATGTTATGGCTACTGTGTTCTGTGATAAAGAGGGAGTGATTCTTGTGGACTTTTTGGAGCAGGGAACAACAATGAAATCCAATCGATATGTGGAAATGTTAAAGAAGCTTGGAGAGTTCGTGAAACGAAAACGCAGTGTCATTCTTCTTCTCCACGATAATGCAAGGCCACACACTTCTCTTCCCACAACTCCAACAATTGCAGAATTACAGTGGGAGGTCCTTCCCCACCCACCTTACAGTTCATACCTTACTTCTTCTGACTTTCATCTTTTCGCACCTCTAAATGGAAGTTTGCGCTGGCATAATTTTCAAGACAATGAAAGTTTGAAGAACGCCGTGCGCCAATGGCTGCAGAAGCAGGACAACAATTTTTACCGCCGGGGAATACACGCTCTCGTTCAACGTTGGACAAAAAATTACAATTAAAAGGAGAATATTTTGAATGATAAATTATTTATAAAGAAAGTCTGAGAAACAAATTCATATTAATTTCACCTTTTCTTTGAATAATAAAAACGTAATAAATTCGGAGGCATTTCTTTTTGACTGTTCTTTGTACATACCCTATCTACCGCATCATCGCTGTCTCTGTGCTGTCTATTATGAATTTCGTCCGTCGAAAGTCCAATTTTGAATAATGTAAATGTTAGCCAGCTAATTCGGGTATCAGCTAGAGTTGCATTCTATCCTCATATAGACACACTTCAAAGTCAAAGTACGAATTAACCATATGTTTATACTTTATCGAGTGTCTAGCTGAATACCCGATGTTTTCCGGATTTTTATTATCACAGTCATTTCTTAATTAGCCCTACCGGTCTTGTCCAACGTGCTCGCTCAGAACGCATTGCGAGTTGCATAATAATTTTGAGAGTACACGACACGCCCTTCCCACTCTCACTCTCCAGAGTTCTATTATCCACATTAAGGTGGTTAGAGCGAGATGTTCCCTAGTAGATAGAGAGTCCATTTTACATTCAAAAATATTTATTTGCGAGATAAGAGGGTATTGTGAGACCTACATAAAGAAAATAGGGACTTTTATGTTGAGTTTTATTTAATTATTTGAATTAATTTTGTTTCATAGGTGTAAAATAAAAATATTTTAATGCCACATAAAGAACTACTGTTGACTAGTTTCGTAACTAGTACCAACAGATCGCGAGGCTACGGAATGAAAAATTGAAGCATAAGATTGAACATAAAAAAGCACTATTACACAATTAGTACGAGCAAATTCATACAAAATAACATTATAGACACATATCTATATATTTTTGTACAGTAATCGCTAATAATGGCAAAACTTTCCATGTTTGAGTGGGGCGAAAAGTCTTCAGTAAATTGGGCAACGCCGTAATGTCCTCGAGATTGGCATGACTGCTCAGGGCTCATGCTTGTAACAGTTCTGTCAGGTGAAATAAAGATTTTTCAAAGTTTCGTGGTTTTAAAACCACTTTGAAAACTGTTCGTTGTCTAGTCGACACGCGGTAAATATCACAATCTCAGTGAATTGGCGGAAGGTTTATTTCCAATTTGAGAGCGGACTTTGAGAGAAAACGAAATAATTCCTCCAATATTACTAGAAATGTAATAATAAGTTTAAATTATAATTACGTAATAAAAAGTTTTCAATTATTTTTTCAATGTTTGTTTCTCTCTAATTTTTATTTCTTGAATTACCTGAGCTAATGGTAATATTCGATTACTTGACAACAAGATCAACAGTTTGGTTCTCTCCAACATTGTATAAAGCTTTATATTTAACTTGACAGAAATCGTAATCATTGATTCCTACGGCTCCTTATTATCCTTCATATCGCAATATATATTTGTTTCTGTTATTCTATTTTTGCTTTGTTAATTAAACTGCATAATCAATTTTTAATGTTGTAATAGTTTTGATTAAAAAATTTAAAATTATTTTTGCAATTGCAATGTGCCGTATTATTTCCAAGGTGCGGTTGTATAAATCATAGAAACCATTTGCTGGTTTTCAGTATAATTTTATATCATATTATGATATTGATTTAGATGCAGATTATTGTGTAAAGTACATATCAAGCTAAAGCTGATAAAATGAAAATACTGCATCAGATAATTCTGAGAACTGTATTATTGAGATCTTCAATAATAAAATTATAATATTGTTGGAGATAAAATCTTCAAAAGAGATTTCGAAGTGGCATAGTCTTTTGTAACCGTTTGTCTTGATGTTGCACTCAAAATGAAAAAAAGGTTTAAATGTTTTGAAAATAAGACACGAGAACCATTCAAAATGCATTACTATTGTTCAGGAAATGCAAACAATTAGATAAAATATAGTGCTGAAGAGAAAAGTAGTTTCTATTAAAATACTAAAAGTACCAAAGGCTGAATATATCATTCCTCTTACAATTTCAATAAAATGTAAATATTGATTACAAATGTAATTATTAAATTTGCCCATGCGGATTTAGATACTGTAGGCCTTCAAGCACAAAACTAAACTGGGCACTCCTTCAGAAAAATCTTTAAAACCAAAAAACTAATTATGAATAAATCTAAAAAACACTAATTATGGTAGAATAAATCATTATTCCAATACAGATGTAAATTAACAAACTGCTTACAAAATAGAAATTACTTCTTAAACTTCTCATTTACAAATTTCATATTTGGTTTCTTATTGTTCCATTCAATTTATTTTTAAAATAAAACATTGTTGTTCAGTAAACCATTTGATTAATGATTATTCATATAAAATCGTTTAATGAAATTTTTAATATTTATTTTAAAAAATTCGGGCATGGGGATGGGAATCCCAAGCCTAATTTTGCTAGGAGGAACTCCAGCTCTGCATTCTCCTACACCTTGAATGGTTGATATTAACACCAGCAAAACAGTATTTTAGCATTGCAACACTTTTGAAGCCTTTAAAAAGTCTATTACTTACTGAATTGAATGCCCACTCAGTAGCTCTACCGATTGAGGTGCTTATATACACTATAGATTGCTGCTGTGAAAGCAACTGTGTTGCAAAAGACAATGACAATCCACTGCACATCTCCATAATAAAAATGAGAACATGAATAATTTTCAAATAACTGAATAAATAATCATTGTTCAGAAGCAAAAAACTGACATACGGCACAATACAAAATAATAATACTGTACTGAAAGCTTAAAATTTTCTATAAATTCTCAAAATCACCCATTTTCTCATAGGGAGTACTATCAAAGTGATTCATTTGGAATATTAATTGAATTAAGATTTTCATTCAGATCATCCTAACCATTACATCCATCAAATTCCAGATTTTCTGAATATCTGGTTACTATCAAACGCAAGTTTCTCCAGGAGTGAGGACATTTTAATTTCACCCAGAAGATCTACGAATTCTTGCGAGGTATCGTCACTCGATTTGAATGAAGCGCGTTGCGCGCGCGCTGTTGCCGAGATGCGCGTCACAGTCTCGACCCTCTACAAAGCGCGCGAACGTCCTTTTTGACTGATTTAGGCTTATAATTTTGCAAAATTCTCTCATTTGAAACGGTAAATTTCCTTCAAATTGCGCATATTCATTCTTATATATGCTAGCAACCAAAATAAGAGTTTTTATAAACATGTTCAACAGTTAATTTTCTTACAATTTTACAATTTTAGGTCAGATCTGTCAGGTCATCCTAAGAGCCTATGTTAAAACAGCAAACTTTACGGTCTCGTTACGCGAAAACTAGACGGTAAAATCGACTCAAACTCTACCAGAACATAGAAAAACCTCATATCTTCCGATTGATTCTATAAAAAAGGCATGTTAAACATAACACTTATCTAGTTGTCTCTGACGCCGTTAATATTTATATTAGCGGCAATTTGTTCACATTATTATATTTATAAGTACATGTTATTTAAAAACAGTCATGTAACGTTTCTTTAAAACTCAATTATTTCTGTGAAAAATCTGTGAAATCTCGAATTTCCAAAATTTCGGAACGGCTCAAACGCAATTTTTATCAATAATGGCTCCAATTTTTATCTTTCAACTTTTCGAAGGGATAGTGCTAATTGCACTCTTTAGTATGACTTAAAGTTAATTGTGTTTTTTTTTTTTCCCTCCCTCGAAAACCGTGGCGGCAGCGGTGGCGGCGTCGGAAGGGCTCTGCTGCTTGGCGGAAGCGCGCCGCCGTCGCGACGTGGGAAGGCGCCCTTATAGATGAGTAACGAAAACAAAATAGCATTCTCTAATTCTAA